AAATGGATAACCGTCTTCCAAGAATTGTCTCATTTAATCAAAGATTCATTCAAACACCACTCCATCATCGATGCTACTCCTTTCTCGAATTGAATATGTCAGCGTGTATCGCGAACGCCGCCATGTTCTTTGAAGCGCCGTGATTAATTTTTCTCCTCTTTTTCCTGCCCCAGTTTAATAGCGATAAAAGCTCTTCGCGCCTTGCGCAATCTTCGAATTCCACTGTTGCAGATGTTCGTCGGTCTCCTCTGTGATTTAAGACAAACGAGTGATCTTTGAACTAAATCGCGAGACCGCGATCTAGATCACTCCCTCCCTCCTCATCTTTGCTCTCAATAAGTATCCGTTTGTTTTCGAGTTTCCTTGCAAAATTACGTCGTTACGAAAGTTATTTCGATTTTAGAAAATTTTTTATTATTTTACGAATAATGTCTACTCTTATTCAAGAATTCTAGCAATTTTTCTTAGAAATAAAGTATTTCAATGGAAATTAATCGCGATATTTTGATCAATTCCAAGCAAAGATTTTATAATATAGGTTTTATAATGATTTGAAACGATTTGTATTATTATTATTATTATTATTATTATTATTATTATTATTATTATTATTATTATTATTGAAATAACTTGTCAAAGGAGAAATCAGCACCATAAACTTTGCCCAGTCTCGCTGGGTTACTTACGCCACCAGGCGAGAATTTTGTTATCTCAAATTATTTTTTTAAAACCACTTTTCATCGTGTCATATAATATTTTTTACCGTGCGATATTTTATTTACCTACCTACGATAACGATTAGAGGATAAAGTATCATAATATCATTCCTCATTAAATTACATTCCATTTTAAGTTAGTTAACCGTTCAAATATCTTTCAACCGATGATATAAATTTTCATTTTCGTGACACGTATTATTCTATAAATTAAATAAAATTCTTAAAGAAAACGATTATAAATATTCATGGATACGTACATCATCGTCCTATATCATTATTTTAAATTATCACCAATTATTCAAGCGTTGCATTTATATTTGGAATATTAAAGATGGATAAAATTGATAATTTTTAATAAAATTCATGATTTATCATTATACAATTACCATAACAACTATACATATAATATCGTAATCAAAAGATAAAGATCGCTTTCTATCAATTTAAATGAAATATAAAATTATTCGTATTCATGTTTCGAAACGATAAAGCCAATGTATAAAATTTTTTTCCCACGGCGTCCATTGTTACAGATAAAATTACACTCGAAATACCTTCACTACGCTAATCTTATAATGACTCATGACCGCCTTAACGATTGTCGCGCATCTTTATTCCAAATTACCGCCGATTCGTTCGTGAAAACGTGCGGCCACTCGCACGCGAATTGTTTATCGAGCCGCTTTTCCTTTGTTCAACCCCGATGCGGATGATGCATCGCGGCCGGAATTGCTCAACGCTATCCAGAGTGAGTCATTAGGATCGAGCAATACTACGTATTTGAACGAACAACGACGCCGATCCTCGCCACGCTCGTGCGTGGCGGCGAGATAACAGGCCGATGCAAATGAAAAATCGCGTGACAGAGATAGCCGATTACAACTGTTGCGCAATCGCGCGCTTAATGATTTCGATGTATAAAACGTCGTGGGGTGATACGCCTCGTTTCCAAGTACTCGATGCTCGTTTGCCCCTTTCGAAATTAATGGAATTGATGACCTGAAGACGATTTGAGAAGAGCGATCTTTGTGAATCGATTGTGATTTCCCTAGGAATTAAAAGAGATGCGTTGGAACGTAGAATGTTAGAACATGGAATTGGAAATTGGATTGAAAATTAGGTTCACTTTTTTTCTTTGTTTCTTTGTTATCGAAAATCAAAATTTGATTTTTCTTTTTTTAATTTGAAATTTGAGAATTTTAAATAGAAATAATGTGTCTTTCTTTTTATCTTTTGTCTAGCTTGAATATGCAAAAAATAATTTAACAATCAAATTTAAAAATAGAAAATATCCTTCTTCTTAACATTAATCAAATATTTTGCAAAATGAAACAAAATCAAATTTAAAAATTAAGTAATATCTTCTTCCACTTTTGTTTATTCCCATCAATCAGAAATCAACTAAAATCGAACATCAAGGAAAAGTAAAAAATAACAAGAGAAATATTCCTTCTTCAACTGCTGTCACTGTCGCGTGAAATCGTTGAAAGGAATTAGGCAGAGAAGTCGGAATCACCAAAGACAATGCGTCGATTTGCATACATATTCCTTGCGCTTAATTGCTGCGACCTGTCTTTTCCTTCTTCTTCTCCTTCTTCTTGCTTTTCTTCTCCACACTGTTCGATCGAACGTGGCCGAAAATATGTGCCGAAATCGAAGCGATTATCGCTTTGATTGCTCATTCAGAAGAGTGCAACGGCCTTCTTCGAATTCTGCGCGGGAATCACGTAAAATTAGAATACCCTTGTGGATTTCTTCAAATCGTTTCGTCGAAGGAGTTTAGCTGCAAGAATTCGTACCAAATGCAACAATAAGATAATTCCAATTTCCAATCTTTTCATTTCAATCTTCTAAAAACTGCTCATAATCAATTTATTTTTATTTGCATTATGATATTATTATTAACAATATCATCGCGTAACTATAATCAAAGATATCGATATGCTTATTCAAGATTTCTCAAAGATTAGGGCGAAGAAAAAAAATATTTAAATAAAATCACGCATTCCCTCTCTCTCTCTCTGAGCAAACTTGACAGAGACGTTTGCCTATGTGTTGTGCCATAGCTGTTGGTTTAAGCGCAACGGGGATTCCGTAAGAGTCCTTTGTCCTTTCTCGATCCCAGTCAGGAACACCCTGGCCGGTTCGGTTCGCATAAACGGGAAACGGGTTTCAGTCAGAAAAGAGCTTTGGTAGTTCGGCGCAAAAGAACGGTGCTTTGTCACGGTGGCAAGCGGAGCAAAAAAGAGAAAGAAGAAAAAGAGAGAGAGGAAGAGAGAGAGAGAGAGGAAGAAGAAGAAACGAGTGCACCTTTTTCAATCGATCTCTCTTCAACCAACCACTTCCAACGTTCCTTTTTCTTCTCTCTAACCATTCCTTCTCTCTCTCTCTCTCTCTCTCTCTCTCTCTCTCTCTCTCTCTCTCTCTCTCTTCACTCGTGCATCGCAAGGAGAAGGAACGAGGGGATACGAAAAAGCTGATGTTAGGCGAATGCAAATGAATACCGTACGAGGGAACGACGAACTATTCTACAGCGTGCTTCTAATGTTTGCTCGATGCGGTTTCGCTGTGCATGCTTTTTGGATTTTTGCAGGATGGAATGGTTTAGAAGAGGCTCTCTTTTTGGGAAAAAATTTGAAAGCGAAGAATGGAGTCAGTCACTCACGCTCGCTTGTCGAGTGAGCTTTTTTTTTTTTTTTTTTTTAAAAAAAAGACTGGAAAGAATTGTTTCTTTCTTATTTTCTCTATTTTTTGTCCTTTGGCTCGTGAGAATAAATGTGGAATTTGTTAAATTGGCGGTAGAGTATGGTATTGTATGTCATTGGAAATTAATTTGTTTGTTATCCGCGGTTTATTTTGGTATCGTATAAATTTATAATCGATCGATAATCAATTTCTCTGTGTGATGTGAACGATATTATCAACAATGTATTTTGTATTCGTGTTAATTATCAAAGCCCACGAGACGATACAATTGTAATTAAATATCACCTAATATTATGATGTGCGGTTATATGTCTAACATTAACTTGTCAATTCCCTGGCGATAATTACAATTTTGGTGAGAAAATTCAATAATGAACATGCATCACGTTGAATACAAATTGATAAATAAATAGAATTTTTACAAACTTGGATCATTGTGTTGTACAATGAACGCTCCAGAGAATTAAATTTTCTAAAATTCAAAAATTTATCGCGCAAAATATATTAATAAAAGTATACTTTTACACGTTCAATCGATAAATCGATATTTATTCCAAAATAGCAACAGAACACAATCAATCAATATTCAAAATCCTTTTTCGAATAACGAACGAAATAATCCTGCCATCCTCTTCATCCTTCGAATTCTCATTCGCAAATATCATCCGCAATTTTGATGCAAGGATCAGAAGCAGAAGGAGAAAAAAAAAAAAAAATCGGAGACGTTAATTAAATTTCATTACTCGAGGATAGAAAAAAAAAAAAAAAAAAAAAAAAGAAACGACAGCCGGCCCATCGAAAGTTCCGTATTAAACATTTGAGAGCCGCTGACCATAGTGATCGTTGTTGGCTTTGCTTTCGAGGCCTCCACCCCCTCGACAATCGCGACTACCCTCCGCGGCAGCGAGCCGCCGATCGCGTTTCATTGTTGTGAACGCATGCAAATTGCGATCCCAGTCCTGGGACGAGTATCAATTCTAACAGGATTAATTCGAGTGCAGTCATTGTTTTTTGCGCGTCACAAAAAGCCCACCCCTCCCCTCCGCAACGTTTAGCCTCGTTTCGAACAATATCCGACCGGGTTTCGAGTTTCCCTTCGCCCCTCTGCGGGAAAGGAACGACGGATTTGTAAATTGCGACCAATGAGTTGCGAAAAAAAAAAGTCGTGAAATGGGTGTTGGGGCAAGTTAGGTTAAATTTCTGATCGATTCGAATGCTTCGCTATTTGTCTTTAATTTTTTTATCTCGAAAGGAAAAATAAAATGGAGGATATAAATTGAGATTAGCAAAATAAGAGATATTATGGGTTTAGTGAATTCTTGATCTGAAAATTGATATTTTTTTTGTTTTTTTATTTTTTATTTACTTTTTTTGGAGATGATACGACTTTTATTTAATCTTTAATTTTGTTATCTTTGAGCATCATATTTCAAAATTTCATAATTTCTTTTTTCAATTGACTATTTTTAAGTACTAAGAGTTTCGATTATCTTTAGTTAGATTTATAATCATAATTTAAAATATTTACCTTCAATAAAAGTTAACGTTAACGAAGGTGAAATTTGTATGTTCCAGAAAGATGATTTTCTTGCGGTTAGCTCTGTTTTACGTCAATATCTGCCTGAGAAAGATACACCGTACATTTTAGACATCGATCTGGATTTCTTCAGCACCAAGAATCCTTTCAAAAACCTGTACGATCGCGTAAATCTCTACGATAAACTTGCAACTCTCTACGCTTTTCGTCGGCCCGATTCAACGGATCAAGAGGTAAGTACACGAAAATAAATTTCAAATGAAAAATATTGTCTTAACTGTTCCTCGAACGATCTGGAAATACCTTCCAAGGAATTTTTATTTTTATTGATGAACATTTTACTAAATGGAGAATTGTGTAATGAAGGAATTACATTTCAAAATGTTTTGAGAATATAATAAAACGAAAAAAATTCGCGAACATAAATAATCCAGATTTGCCCATGGAAAATGCAAAAAAGTATGCTTGCTCTGCTTTTTTCCAGGCAGAATCAAAAATTCCTTACGCACAAATGTTACACTTTTACAAAAACTTTTTTCGATTTCCCAATTTTTTATAATTCTACAATTCTACTTTCTTTTCTCAAATTTTGACCTCACCTCAACTACTCTCCAATATTGCCACACTCTCCTTATATCCACCTACCTAATTCAATTCATCTCGTAACCCTCGTAAAAATATTTCCAACGTAATAACTCTGCATACGCACAAATTAATCGTAACACCGGTCCAAACAACAAATTGACTTCGCAACTTCGACCAAGCCGAATAGACTATATAAAAAAAAAAAAAGAGAAAGAAAAAGAATTCGAAACGCGTTAAACGCTGCCATCTTGTATCAAATTGGATTCGAAGAATTGGAGGAGGATTCCAAGATTTAATTGCGGCCGCAAGACGCGAAATCTCGAATCTTCCCGGAGTGTACCAACTCCTCCCTCCCTCCCTCCCTAGACAATTGCTGGCAAGCCAGAGAGGCAGTTCGAACTAGGGCTGAATTACACGTCGAGGAAGCGAGCCCTTGGGCCAAAGACGGAATTTCGCGAGAGGAAGCGAGGAGCATCGGGGGGAGAGGGAGGGAACTCGGGCATGAAACTGGACGGAGAGGGAGAGAGGGAGGGAGGGAGGTGGATATACAGTGGAGAGAGTGGAAAGAGTGACAGAGGAGGTGGGAGGGGTGTGTACCGGCAACGAGCGGAAGATTTGCGAATAATTAGGTGGGCCGACAATAGCCGGGGTCCCGTGGCAGACCGGATACACAATGTGGCCTGCCACCACCGGGATAATAGACAGAGAAGAACGACTCTATGGGGTTTTAGGATTCGACGGACATAATGGCAACTGGCCCCATTGTCTACGTAGCCTGCAGACTGCCAACATCCGCTTTCGAGGGCGGCTCATCTGCATCCCAGCCTTCAACCCCTTCGAGTGTTTGGTTTCCAGCATCGTGGATGCAAATTTCCATCCCCGCGGATCCTCCCCGACCCGTTCGATTGCCATCGATCACCGATGGAACAGCCAACACCCGGACTTTGTATCGACGGCCATTGTTCTTAGGAAAGAGGAAACTGTTGTGGGGTGGGTGGTGGTCGTCGTGGTGATTCGTTGGTAGGCGTAACGTTAGGTTAGGCACGTCTGGGCTGAAGAAGGAAGATTCAGAAGAAGTATACCTCGTAGTGTTCTTCCGAGATTTTTTTTTTCTTTTTTTTTTTTTTTTTTAACTAGCGAGAAAAGATGAATTTAAAAATTCTTTTTTAAAAGGAGGATGTAGATTTAATTAATTGTGCGATTAGGTGGATATATTTTATTTCGTTCGACAGTGTAAGAATGATAACGATAGACTGTTTGAATAATAGTTATTATTATTTGTTGGAAATATGGAAATCGAATTTCTATATCCAAGCTTGATTTTTTATTCTTCTCTGAGAACAATTTCAAGAAGAAAAATATTTACAATACTAAATTATAGTCTCTAACTAAATCATACAATCAATCGTTAAACCAAATACTCGAAACTTCTATCAAGAAAATTCCATTCATCTTGCGACGCTTTTGCGACATTTCATTCCGAAAGAAACGTTCTTCCGTTAAACTCTTCTTCAAACTATAACGCTATAACCCATCTCGAAACATCTCGTAGAATCGAAATCCCCGTGTAACAATCCTCCAATTAATAATTCACGAAGTAAATCGGCGAGGCCGTGACTGGCCCCATTCATCCAGCCAGTATCCAGCTCCACTCTCCTCCGTGCTTCTCACGAATCCACTCTCCATGCGAATCCCTTCGAGAGGCAACCGCGACCCAGTTTTCGATCTTCGAACGCCGATTCACCCGATCCGATCCGATCCGATCCGATCCGTCCGACTTCTTACGACGAATCTCCATACGACCGTTTCCGACTTGCTACAATTCCCTTCGATCGTACGGAAGAAGATGTGATCCGTGCTCACACCGTGGGATTTTCAGTCACCGAAAAATAAATCGCTCGACATCGTTATGCTAATTCGCCGGGTCCGGTTAAACGCGCGCTCCACGGCTTCTGTAGAGCTGGAAAAAGATGTCGTCCCTTTCTCGCCAGAGCTTCTCCTGCATAAAATCACCCGTGTATATATGTGTGTGTGTGTGTGTGTGTGTATAGTAGTAGAGTGATACACAGGGACCCCTCTGCGCTTGTGCACGCACCACGAACGCCCCGATCTAATGTATGCGGCCACGCCGCGCTGCTGCTACCTGTCTTACCCTGAGAACTCGAGAACCGCATTGTGATTTTAATCGCCTGCTCTCCAGGTCAGCCTAACCGGGGTCAGGGTCACTGCTGAATTATTTAAATTACGCAACCCGCCCTCCTTCCGCCGGCAAGACGAGTTTGCGCCTGTGTGCATGCAACTCGGCGATACTCGGCCGAGGTGAACGAAGGGGGAGAGATGGGTGGAAGGAAAAAAGGTGAAGGGGTGAGGTTTATTGAGGAAGGCTGGTGATTCGATGAGGAGTAGACGAGATTTGAAATATCTCGTGGCTTCGATTCGTTCCTTGGTAATATGATAGATGTCGATGAGATTTCGTTTGGTTTTGATGTTTGTGCGTGGGAAAAAGATATGGATGGAAGGTATGGATCTTTTCGATTATGATAATTTCCGTTGTGCCACGTCGGGAGAAAGGGATAGGAATGTTGTTCGGAGAGGAGGGGGACAAGATTTTTGGCGAGCGAGGTGGATGGAGCGAGCGGAGTTTTTGGGTCAAGATATTGGTTGGATTAAAGGTAAACGTTTAATTTTTCTCCTGGCTGCAGAATTTATGATTCGAAGCGATCGTTTAAAGTGGTTCACGCGTGGATGAATCTGCGTATAGGAAATTATTCGATACTCTTTAAGTGTATTTGTTTCCGAATGTTTTGCAAATGACTGAGAATTAAGTAAGAAGTATTCATATCGAGAAATAAATCATATTTATGACAATATTTTATTTGAAAGGGAACAAAGTTTTAATTTTTTTTTCGTTAGACTATATCTATATTTGAATTTTAATTTTTACCAGAGAAATAAATAGCAAATAAATATTCAAAAATTCAGACGTACAAATTTATCTAGATTAAATGGTTCGTAAAATAAAATTATTTTTTTTTTTCTTTTTCCCACGAAACATCCTTCCAATCGAATTATATATCATCCACGGTTCATCGAAGAATTTGAATATATCGATCGATTTATTTTATCGAATCCTTTGGATTCTTTTTCTCAGGATCGAAGTCGCGATGCCCCACCGGGATCCGGACGAGAGAAGGAATGACACGAGCGGGGGGTCCAGTATGCAAAACGGGCCCGTTTTCCGGCCTCCCTGAATATTGATGTGTAGCCGGGTATGCAAATGAGCGTGAGAATGCAGCTCGTGCCGGATGGTGACGCGAATAGACGAGCCGGAAGTAAGCCAATACCCCGCCTTCTCCCTCCTCGCAACGTGCCCATTCTTTTGCCGAGGTCGAATTATAGTCGTTGACTTTTTCTTACGCGATCTTTCGGGAGTGGCGAGAGATTTTATCAATCCTCTCTCTTTTTCCTACCCGATGCACCGGATGCATCGTTCAGAATGCTTCGTTTGCTTCGAAATGGAATTTTGCAAAATGAAATCTACACACTTTTCTTTTTTTTTTTTTTTCAATAAGAAGACGAGAAGATTCTTGTTGGATAAAATTTTAGAAGAATTGAATTTCGAGGATCATTGGTATTCCAATGTTCGATTAAATTCGTTCTCTTTCTTTTTATTCAGAATTGGAATCTCGATGATTCGAAATCGAAAATTTTGGAAAATGAAATTAAGATTCTCGTTAAAATTTCAACAGTTAGATTTCGACAACTTCAAGATTCAATTGTTAACTTTTTTAAAACAACAGAATCATTTCAGTAAACGAATGTTAATTCAGTTTGAAAAAAGTACTTAATCTTTTTCAATTCGTTCTTTTTACTCTGCATTTCATTCTACAATGCGTTATTATAAAATGAAACTCTGAAATGAATATGCAATTATTCCATCACATGAGATCATAAGCTTGCACAAATTACCGCCGACAATTTTAAGAAACTGGCTCAAAGTATTCCCTTCAAAACCCATAAGGAAAGCAATTCCATATCGAAATCGTTGGAATTCGGGTGGTGGCAATAAACTTCTCGACGAAAATTTCGCCATTTCCAGCCCCTCGTAACGTTCAGCCCCGTTGAAATATCTGGCTGGAGGTTTGCTGCCACCAAAACGGGACGTGGATAAACAACGTGGAATTAAATATACAATAAAAGCGGCCGGTTCCGGACACCGAAAGGGCGTGGTGGGGGTGGAAAAGAAGCGAAACTGCTTTACCGGCTGCGCGACATTTCAACCTCCCCCCTGCCCCACCACGGATGCGGCAGCCGGCCGCATAAATAAATCCAATTGGCTCGAATAAAATGTACGAAACGAAGTCGCGCCAATGGCCGGGTATGTATTTTATTTTCTCTCGTTTTACTTTCCACCCCCGGTGTCAGGCCAACCAGCCAGCCATCCACCCACCCGCCCTGCCGTTTCCTTCCCCTACTCCACCTACTCCCTTTTTCCTTCGCGCTCTTCGTACGACGAGCGGCGTACCGGCACATCGGTGCCTCTGCCTCTGCCTCTGCGTCGTGGAGCCACGATGGGATAATTCAATCGTGACTTTTCACGGATTTCCCATCGAAGGAAACACGCCTGATGGGTGGAAAGCTTTCGTTT